CCACAGAGGTGGCACCAGGGAGGAGGGGTGGGGCGGGGATATTGACTAGTCAACATTAATATCCAATAAGCAAATTGCAGGCCAGGCATGACTTTGTGAATTGATGTTTCATGTCCCCAGGCACAACTGTGGATCATAGAATCATAGAACACTAGAACTGGAAGGGACCTTGAGAGATCATCCAGTCCACTCCTCTGCCCTCATGGGGGGCATGTCAATCTCCCATCCTCAAATGCACTTCCATGTATCAGGTATTGTAATGAAGGGCATCAGCAGAAAGGTGCTCAAATAACAGCAAGATTGAACCTAATCTTACCTCCATGGGACTTCAAATCTGAGTCAGCAAAATAATTCTTCTGTCTCCCACCACACTTACTTCTCTTTGAAACATTGGAGACTATCCACAAGTGGAGAGCTAAATTCCCTCTAAGCTGCACGGCCACATGACTGCTTAATAAGACTGGCACAAGAGCTCATGGCTGCCATGCATGGAGCAGCTGTGGCTGGAGGAGAGGCACGCCTCCCTCAGCCCAACCCAGTTGGCAGAGAGGCGCCTCTTAACTGCTCCAGCGAGGCAACACTGGGAGGAGCCCTTGCTCTCAGGGGAGCCTGTATGCAAAACCCCTCATCTCTAGCCCCATCCCAGATCCCACATTCCTAGCCAAAGCCTTCACCCCTGCACCCCAACCCTCCACCCCAGCCCTGAGCCCCCTCCCATACTCCAAACCCCTCATTTCCAGCCCCATCCCAGAGCCTTGTGCACCAATATAGCGGGGCTGAGAGGGCTCAGTGCTACAGGGGCGAGGGCTCTTCACACTGAGGGAACACTGATGGAAAGTAGATGCTGAATGGGATGGATCAGTGCTTTAAGGTAGCATGCTTTTCTCAGGGTCAGGTTGGTCCCTGAGAAACTGGTGGTCAGGTTTGGGGTTAGAGAAAAATGTATCCAAAGTTCAAATTTATATGGACTTTGGAGGGTTTTGCCTTCCTTTACAGCATGGGGTATAGCTCACCTTCTGGGATCATCTGCCCATCATCATCTAGCTATTTTAGGGGCCTCAGGCACTGGTGGAAATCTTAGTCTCTTTTGTTCTCTTCACTTTTAATCTGAGTCCTGAATATTTTATACTAACTGAAATTTTAGGGTTAAGAATAGGTGCAACTGTGGGAAATTAATGGCCTGCAATATAGAGATCAGACTGGTTGTCTAATGGTCTCTCTTAGCCATGCTATCTATGAAACTAAATAGTTATCACCAAGGCTTTCAGGAAACCTGAAACACAACTGTTTATTATGGCAGCACCTAGCAACCAAATCAAGGATCAGGGCCCCATCATGCAAGTACTATACAGACAGAAAACAGACAATGTATAGGCTAAACATCAGATAGAACATGACAGTGGACAATATGAAGTGGGTGGAACAACAACAAATTAGCAAAAAACTGGAAGTCTCACCTCACCTTTTAATCTATCTATTGACAGTGATTTGGAAGCATCACAAAAGTAGAAATGTAGGAGCAAGTAGAGGGAACATTTGGCAGCTTTACCATTTGTGTTGGGAAGTTCCTCCCTATCCCTACACACCATGTACAGGAACACTGTAAGAAAGAACTGGTAAGTGCTGGAGGGAAGAGTAGTCAGCCAAGTTAAGATCACCTTCATCATGCCAGTGATGGCAAAGTCAATAGAAAGTGTGGGACTAAATGGTGAAGAGTACTAAAAAGCAAAGATGCTGTTTGAAGTGGTGGAGGAGGAGACGGCCATATAGGGCACAGAGAGGTGATGTACCAAGAAGGTTCACCCAGCAGCAATATTTTGAATGGACTTGACTAGAATGATGTGGCTGGTTTTAGAGGTCAAGGCAGATGAAAATGCCTGAACAAGAGCCTTCACCCTGGACAGAAAGAAAAGGCTGAATCTTGGAAACTTTAGCTAGGTAGCAGAATCAGAACTTGGACACTATCTGGAAGTGTGGCTCAAGAGACAAGGTTGAGTCAAAAATGATGCCCCAATTACAGGCCTGAGTTGTGATGTTATCCACAGTGATAGAACTAACAATCCAAGGCCCGGAAGCTTACTTTACAGTGAAAAATAAAAAGGTCACTATTTATTTTGTCAAAGACTAGTTAAGGGGTGGCTTGATAAGTCTATAAACACCTACGTGGAGAAGGTTTCAATAGACATAGTTTGTACTATGTGTAACAGGCAAAGATATAACAAGATCCAATGGTCGGAAGCTTAAGCTAGACAAACTGAGACTAGAAATAAGATCGGGGTGGGCAAGAGGCTGCCAGCTGGCTGGATCTGGCCCACCAAGCCACTGAATCTGACCCACGGCTGCCTCATCAGAACCCTTAGACAGAGAACAGATCACACTTTAAAAAAGCCAACTGCTCTCCACTCTGAATGGTTGGGGAGGGAGGAGGGAAACTTCTCATGCTGCTCCTGCCGCCCAGAAAAATATCTCGGCTCCCATTGGCTATTTTCTCCATTTCCAGCCAATAGGAGCTGAGAATTTTTGCTGGGAGCAGGGGCAGTGTGGGAAGCCTTCTCCCTCCCTTCCTCCCTCCTCCTGCTGCCTGGAGCAGAGCCACACGAAGCAGCAAGCCGCCTGCAGTAGACAGTCTGCCTCACGTTTCTGCAGGTAAGCGCCTCCCAGCCAGAGCCTGCCTCTAGCACTCAACCCTCTCTCTTCCAGCCAATAGGAGCTGAGAATTTTTGCTGGGAGCAGGGGCAGTGTGGGAAGCCTTCTCCCTCCCTTCCTCCCTCCTCCTGCTGCCTGGAGCAGAGCCACACGAAGCAGCAAGCCGCCTGCAGTAGACAGTCTGCCTCACGTTTCTGCAGGTAAGCGCCTCCCAGCCAGAGCCTGCCTCTAGCACTCAACCCTCTCTCTTCCTCTGACTACCTGCCCCAGGCCACCACCCAAACCCTCTATCCTGCCCCCTTCTCTCAGCACAACTCCCTCCCAGACCTTGTGCCACCTCCAAAACCTCCC